GGGGGTCAAAATAAGCTCAGTCACTGTGAGATTCCAGTAGATGCTGCAGAGTGAATCCAGGACAGAGAGCTTGAGATCTCAAGGGATCCACTGCCTGGCATGCAGATGGAGCTCTGAAAATGAGGCAGCTTCTTGCTGGAGGAAAGCAAGAGGGCTCCCTGGAAGACCCAGAGATTTCCATGAAGAGTAGAGGTACCACCTTGTACCTTGCTGAGTTTCTGTTGTGGACAACCTGACAGCAAGTCCCTTCTATTTCTGGCCACCAAGATAAAGGAAGAACCGATTTGGGAAACAGTTGAGACCCACTTTCTGTAGTACCCAAATCTTACCACTTGGAGGCATCAGGGAGTTGACTGAGCCTCAGCCTCCTTCCAGCTGCCGAGGTTGCAGTCTGGCTGCTGGTGAGTCCCTCTCCCCTTGCTGATGGGGTCTTCACTCCCTTCCACCTCCAGCCAGCGAACCAGGGAGGGGAGACCATCACATCCAGATGTTTGATGCTCCCCACAGTGGGGAAACTGATGATCCAGAGAAGGGAGGGTTTATACAAAGTCCTGCAACCAAATGTTTTGGAGCCAACCCCTCAACCCTCTCTCTCAGCTGCGAACTGCAGCCAGGCTGACCCCTCCCACTACCCCCACCACACACACACCTGGAAGCTTCTGTCTCACCTCCAGCTGTGTTGCTGGACTGCTCATCTACCCTCTCTGATCCTTTGTTCACGCGAGTGCCTAGAACATGGTAGGGACTGTGCATAAGGCTGCTGCTTTGCTTCCGGCAGATACCGCGTTCCACAAGAGCGAGGCATGTCTGTCTTACTTACCTGGCACCCGTCATCAGGGTCTTCCTGCTTGAATCCCCGCCACAATTCTCGACCAACCCTTTCATCTCTCTCCTCCCCAGGCAGCCTCCCTCAGCCTACATCCCCGCACCCAGGCTTCGAGGGAGAACTAAGGGACCCTTCCTCCCCAGCACCCCACTGCTCTCCTCTCCAATGCCCACCCCCATCTCACAGCCCCCTCTCCTCAGCTCTGCCTCTCTCCTGCTTGTCCCCTTCTCCTGCTGAGTCTCCGCTTGCTGTGCACTGCAACTGTGTTTACAAGACAGCAATGACAGTTTTTTATTTCTCTTTTGTCTCCCTTCCTCCCCTGAAGGGAAACGTGCTTCCAATCTCCCAGGAAGAAATGAAGGCTCCAGATGGAAAGGACACAAACAAAGGACACTGGGACCATGGGTGACCCCCTGCTCCCACACATGGGTCCCAAACACAAACAAGTGCTCATATGACATTACACACAAACACACACACACACTCCCCGTCTTAGAGGCTGGAGCCTCCAAGAGCAGCTGTGTTATTTCGGGGTAATTGAAAATGTCGATCTTTATTCTAGGGTATAAACAGGGCAGAGGGACACAGGAATCAAGAAGGAAAGTAGTGGTGGGGACCAGAGGAAGGAACACCCAGTGAGAAGAGCTAGACCAAAATAGAAGCTGCAGGCATGGAAAGTGGAGGGGAACAGCAGGAAGTCCTCTTCCACCATGGGTGGCTGAGACACGCACCTTCCCACCTTAGGACTCAAGGAGACATTCTCCGATCAGCTACCATCCTGCCCCTTGAGGCTTGAGGACCTAAAGGGCTGCCCTCCTCTGGGCGCTCTTTCTGAGTGCTGGGGGCTGGCAGAGAGCACTTGACTTACCCTGGTGGATAAACGACTCCTTTGACCCAGAGCACCCCAACTCCTTCATGAACATAGAGCACTCTTCTCCCACTCCAGCCCCCACGTCTGCATGCATGTATGTGTGTGCACATTCTCCACCATTCTTACAGACTATATATCTATACCTATGATAGATGGATAGATAGATAGATAGATAGATAGATAGATAGATAGATAGATAGATAGATAGATATGTAGAGATGATAGATATCCTTTGCTTCTGGGGAGTTGGGGTGCAACTGTGAGCCAGCCCAGGGTGTGTAAGATGCAGAGGTGCCTGGGTAGTGAGGGTACTATCTGCTGTGGAGTCTTGGGGAAGCTTGCTTTCTTCCTGGAGGACAGTGTAAGATATGTGTTTGAGTGTAGCAGGTATAAGAGAGAAGGTAAACCACAGGTTTTCCATTTCTCTGAGAGATATCTTGGCTCAGTGTACCTATACTAAGGGACATATGTCCACAAGTGACTTATTCTGACCCTCTTTCCTTCTCCTCTCCATCCTGCAGAATCCCAAATCCATTCCAAGAACCCCCTCTAGCTCTCATGTCCAACCCTACTCATATCTGGTAAGCCTAGAGGCCAGGCTGATCTGTCTAGGGAAGAAAAAAATGGGACTCAGTCCCAGGATGAAAGCTCTAATCCCACACTAAGCCCTCATCCTGGTCACATACCAAAACCGATCTGGAGACAGGCCACTCCTTTACTATGTAGCCAGGGCTGGTTCTACGCCCGGAGACTCAGCTTCATCTTTTTAACAGTGGTCTTGGCCTGCTCAGGCTGGGGTGGGGTGGCACACACCTTTAATCCCAGCACTCAGGAAGCAGAGGCAGTGGATCTCTGTGAGTTCAAGGCCAGCCTGGTCTACAAAGCGAATTCCAGGACAGCTAGGGCTCTGTTACACAGAGAAACCCTGTCTTGAAAAACCAGAGAAAGAAAAGAAAAAAAAAAAAAAAAAAAGCCTGTGGGGATACTGGTCTAAGGTTCACCTGACCCAATGACACAGGAGAGCTCAGCAGCTGCCACCTGCCACTCCCACCCCCATCCAACATTTTCAGCCCAAGCATCACTAATTTTTGCAGCCGCTGTGATAAATGGCATTGTCGGCAAAATGACATCTTTCTAATCTGCTGCAAGACAGATGGGTCCCTGAGCAGGCTTTCTCTCTCTCTCTCTCTCTCTCTCTCTCTCTCTCTGCTGGAATTGCTGAGGTTTGGGGAGAATGGGACAAACATAGACTCGGAGTCTGGGGGGAAGAGACTTCAGGGCCCTGAGCCAGGTGTAAACCCAAGCGGCTACCACAACCCTCTTTCCTAAACATTGCTGGGTCTCTTCTAATAGTCCAACGATAATGTCAGTTCCTTGCCATCCATACTTAGGTCTATTCAATACAATTTTCATTTCAGCCAAAACTGCAATGTTAACACAGGTGCAGTGACACACACCTGAAATTCTAGCACTCCAGAGACTGAGCCAGGAGGGTTACAAGGTCATGGCCAGCCTGTGCTGCACAGAAAGACCCTGTTTTTAAAAGAAAACAAAATCCTGTATCTCAGAGCCAGACGTGGTGGTGCACACCTTTGATCCGAGCACTCAGGGAGGCAGAGGCAGGCAGATCGCTGAGAGTTTGAGGCCAACCTAGTCTACAAAGCGAGTCCAGGACAGCCAAGGCTATATAGAGAAATCCTGTCTCGAAAAAACAAAAAATGCATTAATTAATTAAAATAATTCTGGAGCTGGGGAGACAGCTCAGCCAGCAAACTGCCTGGCACACAAGTGTGAGGACTTAAGTTTGAGCCCCAGCACCTGGTCAAAATATCAGACAACCCACCTGTAACTCCAGCTCTGAGGAGGGTTGCTGGGAATTCCCTGGCCAGCCAGGCCAGCCAAACCAAGGAGCTCCAGTTCAATAAGAAACCTGGTCTCCAAAATTAAAGTGGAGAGGAATTGAATGTTGACTGTGGCCTCCACATGCACACATATGCCGTGTATACACATGCACACGTGTGCATACACTCGAACACCTAACACACAAAGAGGCAGGCAGATCTCTCTGAGTTCAAGGCCAGTCCGGTCTACATAGCGAGTTCCAGGACAGCCAGGATTACAGAGAGAGAGACCCTGCCTCAAAATGAGATAAAATAAATAAATAAAACAAAATAAAGAGGGGACAAGCCATCAGGCACTGGTTCTGGTTCCGAATGCCCCTCTCTGGCTGATCCAGTAGGGTCTGCAGTCATAGCCTCTCTCTTCTCTTTTCGAGGTTCCCAGCCTCCCGGATCCGATCCCTAGTGAACTGCAGATCAGAGGCTATCAACACCTTCCCATGATAGAGAATGGGAGAGAACTGTTGAAGGTGTTGAGGTGAATTAGGGATCTGGAGGGGAAGAGTCAAGAGTCAAGGGCTGGCGAATGCCTGCTTGGAAGGCCCCAGCCACAGGTACCTACACCCAAAAGCAGGTGGAGCCAGTCCTGGCCCTGAAGACTGAGGCAGCGCTACCCTCCCCTGGCCACACTGACGTGCTCTGCTAAGCTGAGCTGCAGAGACTGGGGACATGGCAAGTGACTCTCCAAAGACAGAATGTGACCCTCAGAGCCCTCCCAGCAGCCCAGAGGCTGCCCGGACTCCAGCACTGTCCTTGCTGGCCTTCGGGTGTGCTGTGTCTTCCCTGGGATAGGGCTGTGCAATGTCCCACACTTGGAAAGCTGAGGACAACTTGGGTTACAAAAACAAAAGAACAAATAAATCATAGAAAAGCCACCGTGTCCCATCTAGCTAAAGCCCTCTGGGGACAGCCAGAGCCCCTTGCGGGAGCTACCCCTCAGCCTGCACTCCTTGATCACCCAGCATGCTGTCACTCTACCTCTCCACACATCAGTTTGGATTCTTCCCCAGGAGGAGCTTCTCTCCGTTCATCCCAAACCAAGATGGACCCCTGCCATGTCTGCCCGTGTCCTGGCTCCTCTGCTCCTATCTTGGGGCTAACCAATGGCAGAGACCAGAGATACAGCTCTAGAACTAGAGGAATTCAAACTTCATCAAGGGCCATCCCCAGCACTGTTGGAAAGGGACTGTGAGAGCCAGCGAAGAGCAAGGGAGGCCATACAGCTTGTCAGGGCCCACTCTCAGCGGGCCTTCCTGGGCTTCCCCTAACGACCAGCATGGAAACCCAGGTACACCAGTTACACGTACCCAGGACCCCCAGCCCCTCGGGGCCCAGAAGAAGCAGCTGAGACTGTTTGCAAACAAAGGAATAAATAAACAAAAATATTTATCCAATGCATCTGTGTGCTGGTCACAAAGCAGCACCCAGCAGGGTCTCAGTCAAGAATGTCCACAATCAGTGGGCACAAGTAGGGCGAGTGTTTGGTGCCCATGGTGAAGGCAGGTATGCGGGGCTTGTGCACGGTGACTGGCTGGATGTTGTGGGAGCCAGGGCCAGGCCGAAGGGTGTGGTCCAGCGGATAGGTAAAGCGCTTGGCCATGGTAAATACGGGGCTGCGTTTCTGGTAAATGGATGGCTCAGGTCGGGCATGCGTAGCGGGTCCAGGACCTCCTGCTATGTTCTCCTTGTAGAACCAATTCTTGTGTGAGGAACTCAGACTATAGCAGGGGGCAGCTCGGAAGACAGGGGTGTTGGGCCCCATCGAGAGTGGCAGCTTGTACTGGTTGGGGGCCGGGTTGGGGTCCATCACTCTATATGGACACCGGTAGCCAAAACTGTACTGGGGAGCCGTACGTTCCCCAGGGGGCTGAATCTTCTCAACATTGTATTGGCAGGAGGCTGGTGTGGTGTTTATACCTGCAAATGAGAGAAGCCGGGAGAGCGTTGCACTTCCTGAAGCCAGTTCATCACACAACATAACGTGTTGAGAAGATGCCGTCACTCTCAGGGATACCCTGCTCTTCCCAGGCTCTAAGGGCGCATGCCCCTCACACACCCCATCCTCCCAATGGCCACCTTCCCAGCTTACGTAGGTTGGAGATACGCTCCTCCATGGGGACCTGGGGGCAAGTAGACATCCCAAAACGAGTAGCTTTGGGATCCAAAAAGTAGCAAGGCCCAGGGCTGAACATGTCTGAAGTCTCTGCAGGGAACAAGAAAGGGCCACACTGCCACTGCCATGGCTGCCCTCCCACCAAGGGCTCCCTTCAGATTCTTCTGGCTCGTGGCTATCTGTGGACTTTGATTTTCTCATCTGTAAAATGGGACCTTTTGTGCATGACTGCTGGAGACTGTCGGCAGGACAACTGTAGGACCACGGTGTGGTCAGTCTCCTACTGCAGACACATCCGGATTGGTGCCAAGGGCCATGAACCATTGTAGCTACTGTGAGTATTGAGAAAGGCTCAGCCCCAGCCAGGAAACCTCTGTCAAACAGATGTGACTGGGGGGAGGAGGCAGTCGCCCTAGACCTTGGCCCAAACACGTGACCAAACCCCGCCCAACCTCTCATCCCGCTGGCCTTGGCCACAGGCCATCTTTGACTATTGCTAGCTTCCCCCGAAGAATATCCGACACCAGAGAGCCCCAGGGACAGAGAACCCTGCTCTGCCAGTGACAGGTCCCCCGAAGCTTCCTGGCTACCTTAAGATGTGCCAGTTACTGGCTTCCTTCTGTCTCCATCTTCACCAGCCCCAGCCCCCGGTGGTCAGTGGCAGCGATCTTGGACAGTAGCCCTGACCCTTTAGAGTGACTAGACAGTGGGGAATGCTCACTTTTCTCACTGTGCCGTTTGTGCAGGCTGTACGCTGGCTCCTGAAACATGGAGGGGTCGTGGTCTATATAGCCAGTGCAGGATTGCCGGCGGTACTTGGCAGGCCCTGGACCTGTGAGGACAGACAAGACAACCTTTCACCTCAGCCCCCAGCGTGATGTACCATGAGAACACAGGGGGCTTTGCTCTGCTGATGGCATACTGCCACAGAGCTGGGCACTGATCTGGTTCCCTACAAGGAAGGTAGTATGCAGAGATAAAATGCAATTTCCTGTGGCTCCGCAGCTCATTGTAGAAAGGCAACAGCCACAGTTAATTGGGAACTTGGTCTCTACCAAGACTCATGCTAATCGCTTGATGTGGTTATTTCAGTTGAGCTTCTAGACAACCTTATGAAGACAGATACTCTCATCTTTTCCACCTTACGAATAACAATACTGAGGCTAAGAAATAATCGTTCTATCCAGCCGCAGTGACTTGTGATGTGAGAATCAACAGGATCCAAACATTTAATCACTCACCACTCTAAAACACCTCCCAAGTAATAATCAGTCTGTAGCAACTTAGTGAGAATTCATTTACCTGGTCTCCACTGGAAGGAGATAGAAATCACTAAGGCAAGGCTGACGAAGTGGCTGAGTGGCAGAGCCCTCACCTATAATGTATGGCTCCCTGGGTTCAATGCCTAGGGCCCTAAAAAGCAAAAATCAAACTAAATGCTCCTAACCCTTTCCTCAAAACATGTTGTATGCCCCCAAGCCCCGACCCTCTTCCAGCATCTCACAGAGCCAGTGGGTGGGCCTAGCTTGAAGGTTCAGGTTGCTTTAAGGTCTTGAGGAGTGTCTGCTGGGGCTTCATAGAAGTCAGGGCCAGCAAGCTAGACCCTCTGCCGCAGACTAACAGAATGGGCCCTAGGACAGGACACCTCTCACCTTTGAGTGTGGCCAAAAGGACAGGAGTCTTCTTTATCTCCTGACATGAGGGCACCCCTTCCTCCTTCTCTGGGTGCTGTGAATAGAGCTCCGAGTTCCTGGCCCCCTTGGGCTTTTTCATAGTGAAGGCTGGGAGAAAATAGTAGCAGTTAGAATCAGAGCCTGAGAGGCAATGAGCCAGTACCCCTGCCCAGGCTCCTCCATCCACTACCACCCCACCTCAGAGACTCCAAAACAGCTCGGGAGTGGGCGGGAAGACGCCTGGGCTGAGCAGCTGAAGCCACAGAGGTGCAGCCAATATGGGGCCCAATGGCTGAAATGGAGAATGACGTCGCATCACGGCAGAACTTTGTGAGGCCCAGAATGTTTATTTCTCCCGTTGCCGTGGCGCCTGGACTGTGGAATAGCAGCTCTATGCAAGAGCCCAGCTACAGGAAAATTCAGCTCCACTGCCCTCTCTTATATCCTACCAGGCTGAATGCCCTGGGCGTTCCTCAGCGCCCTGGTCTGGGAAAGGAGTAGCGAGTGGCATGACTCCTGACCCAGCTACTCACTACCAGTGGGTATCCTATAACTGGGAACAGGAACAGAAAAACGGGTGGATCCTGAGTTCCTGCCCACCCCCACAGCCCGTGGGACTTCTACCCTCCGTCCCTTCCACCTGTCTCCCTCAAACTCTGGACAAGTCCTCTCTTCTTTCAGAGTCTACTTGTATAAGCTAACCTATTTCCCAGTAGGGTGTGGCTGTCTCACAGGCCCTTCACAAACTCCTTGCCAAGGCATGATAGCTTTAAAAATCCACATCTAGCCGAAGGAGCACTTACCTAATGGTTGCATTTTAGGCACAGCATGAGGGGCAGACAGAGGAAAACAAAGGGCTTGCACTGAGGCCCACAGCAGCAGCTACCCATGACTTTGGCGGAAGACTCCTGAGGGAGTGTCTTAGGAATACTGGGGATCGGAGGCTATGAAGTCTCCATGTGATGGACAGATGAGCCCCCCCAGGCTAGGAAGATCCCAGGGACCTCTTCACCCCTAAAAGCTCAGAAGAATCCAGGACCCAGCCTTACATCCACCACTGGGATTACAGCTGAGCCAGGTTAAGAAAGCTCTCCATCACGGGATGCAGCCTGGTGGCCCTTAGATGGCTTCTGTCACCACCCCAGTGTGGACACTGAGACGGCAGCAAGGATCAAGGGTTTACCCAGATCCCCCAGCTTCATCAGCGCCGGGAATGGAACCAAGACACAAAATTCAGGAACCCCTTCGGGTCGCAGTCCTTGCTCACACAGTTGCTGTTGTGGCGGTGCCCTGAACTTAGGCAGCTGCCGAGCAGTCATCACCAGGCATGCTGGGAAATGAAGTCTCGGGACTGGGAGGCTCAGAACAGACAGCAGCCTCCTAGCCCGAAGCAGCAGCCCCTCTGCTGGGGGATCACATGTCAATGCTACCTGCCCCACCCCACCCCATAGCTGCTCCCTCCCCTGCCTGGTGGGCTTCTCCAAGGGCTTCCTGCTGGGTGTTCTGTTCCTGTCACAGGCTAAAATGGACTCCCCCACCTTCAGCTGGCCCAAGCCACTCTCTTATGCTCTGTGCACTCCCTCCCTCCCACTTCTGAGGGAGTCTGGAATCCCCTGAAGCTGGCCCCCCGCCCTCCCCAGCTGATAGTTCTTCCTTTCATGGCCCCTTCTATCTTAAAGCTCACTTTTTGTCACATGGGTTCCAGAGTCCAGAAGTAACTCTCCTCAGCTTCTCCATGCCACTGTCACTCACAACCCAGTGGCCCTGGGTCCTGGCTACCTCTGTCCTTCTCCTAACTCCTGCTATGACCCTGGTAACTTCAGTCCACCTAAGGCCCAGTCCCCAATCAATGCCTGGTCCTCCTCATGTGCAAAGACCTCTGCCAACTCTCTCTCTCAAGCCCTGTTCCCAGCAGTGGTCCTGGGCTTTCCATTACCTCCCACAACACCAGCTGCCACCTCCCTCCAGACACCAGCCTTGCATTCCCTACTCTCTAGCGGTCTCTGTGCACAACACTGCTGAGCAAGTCCCTCCTCACCTCAGGTCCTTCCTGCCTTCAGAGCTCTCATCCTTGGATTTGGGAACCTCAATGAGCCTCACCCCTAGGCAGCTTGTTCCCCTGTCCCCTGACATTGTCCCAGTATGTCTCATCCCCGCCCCATATGATTAGACCTCCATGCAGTTCCTGTTCCCCTGCACCAAGTGAAAACAGAGACCAAGAAGCAGGGCTGTAGCTGCAGCCTCCTCAGCCAGGCCTACCCTCTTCCAATCCCCACTGGACTCTATGGCTGCTCTCTTCAGATTCCTACATGCCATCTGGCACCTCTGATATCCAAAGTCCCAAAATTTAAAAAACAAATAAATAAACAAAACAAACAAACGCACGCTGCCTCTGGGGCCCGGAGAGAAGGCTCACTGGTTAAGAGCGTGCAGTTCTTCCAGAGGACTGGTGTTCAGGTCCCAGAACCCACATCAGGTGTCTCATAACCACTTATAACTACAGTTCCAGGGGGTCCAATACTCTCTTCCACTATCTAGGCCCTGCATGCATGTGATTCACATACATACACAATCATACACACATACACATAAAATGAATAAATAATCTTTTTTAAAAAAAAATAAAAAACAGCCCTGCCTTGAACCCATACGTGTCTCTGTCCCCACCTGTCTCTCTCTGTCCAGTCACAGACACATTTACTCAAATGATGTTTTCTCTTGTGGTGACCAGTCTTGCCTGTCTTTCCTCTTGACTCACTGAAAGCTGGCTTTGGACCCATTGCTCCACCCGTACTAGGCTGGAGGAGATGCCCACAGTGGACTCTCAGCATCCTCTTCTGATTTGGCCTCTTGGCAGCACCGGACCAACACGGCTGACCACTCCCGCTTCACACAGAACCTCTCCTGGCTCCAGATGTTCTCCTGGTTTTTCCTTCCCTGGTTTTGGCTGTCCCTTTACAGGCTTCCTTCTGGATCTTCCTCCTCACCCTGACCTTTCAGTATTGGCAAATGCTTATCAATCACAAAAATGGAAGACAGTAAGTTTACTTGGAAACAATCTGGAAGGCTGTGCCTCAACCAGGTGACACATGTTACAGTAACTCAGTGGGTAAAACGTTTACTGTGCAGTCATGAGGATCTGGGTTGGAACACTCAGGATCCACATAAAAAGCTGGGTGAAGCCGTGTGTGCCTGTGATCCCTGCCTGGCCATGCAGCTTTACCTCGACAGTGAGCTTCAGGTACAGAGAGAGACTCTGGCTCATAGAGGAAGGTGGGGAGCAAGGAATACAGATAACCTAATGGCGGCTTCCACACGGGGGTGCGCACACTCATACCACACACAAAATCTGTTCATTAGCATCATTTCATTATTCTGTGTTGTATGGGTGTGTGCATGCCAGAGCATGCATAGAGACAACTTTTGAGGACATAGAGGACAACTTTTGAGAGTGAGTCTTCTCCTTCTTCCTTGGTACCCAGGGACTGAACTCAGGAGCTCAACTGAGTTAGTGTGTGCCTCCATCCACCAAACCTTCTTGTTGGCCCCTATTTTCCTGAGTGGGTACAGTCTCACCATGTAGCCCTGGCTGTCCTGGAACTTGCTACCTATACGAGGCTGGCCTCAAATTCACAGAGATGGCTTGCCTCCTGAGTGCTGGGTCTAAAGGCGTGAGCCACCACATTTCATTCCCCCAAATTTTTGTAATTAAAAACCAAAACAAAGGCAAACAAACAAAATCCCACCAAGGGAGACGCTGGTACACCAGGGGGCCATAACATCACCATATTGTGTTTCTCAAAGACAGGATATCTAAATCAAACACAAGAGTAGCAGCAGACTGAAGTCAAGATACAGCCACAAAATAACTAGCTTAGAGTAAAAACAAAAACAAGCAACAAAACAAAACCCTCCAGTATCACAGAAAACAAAGACATCCTGAAAACTGTGTCAGATTTGTAGAAACTCAAAAACCCAGACAGCCCAACACAACACAGAAAGCAGGGCTTGTCTTGGATGTCCAGGATGATGTTAGTAAAACTGGCCAAAGCAGAAATAAGTCTACTGCTTATTTCAAAGTGCAGCCATGTTTATTTCCTGATTGATCAATGCACTCCTAAAACAGAAGGTGTGTGTGTGTGTGTGTGTGTGTGTGGTGTGTATGTGTGTATGTATGTATATCAATGTGTGTGTCTATGTGCATCCCCAGTTTTTTAAGTGCTGGCTGTCATGGCTTCTGCCTTTAGTCCCAATTGCGAGACACAGAGGCAGGCAGAATTCTGTGAGTTTGAGACCAGACCGGTGTAGACTATCGTCAGTGTAGACTGGTGTGGAGAGTTTTGGAGTAAACAGGGCTGCATAGAGACCCTGTCTCAAAACAAAACAACGGTGTGGTAAAATATTAACACTTGGGAAGGTGAAGAGTGTGTGAGAACTATTTGCCACTTCCATGAAAGTCTAAAACTGTGTGCAATTAAAAAAAAAATCACAGGATAAAAATTATCAGGCTGGGGAGATGTCTCAGCAAGTAAAGCGCTTTGCCGGCAAGTGCAAGGGCCCGAGTTAGGATCTTCAGAACCCACAAAAAGCCAGGCTCAGTAGCATGTATTTGCAGTCCTTATGTTCCTACAACATGATGGGATGACAAGGCAGGGGACCCCAGGAAGCTGGGAGTCAGCTAGTGCGACATATGCAACAGCAAACAAGACCCTGCCTCAGACAAGGGGAAGGCAAGAACTGACCACAGAGGTTGTGTATACACACACATACACACCTACTCGCACACACGGAAGTGTAGACACGTGCGCATATGAGAGAAAGTGAAAAAGAGAGAGAGAGACTTAAAAAACAAAATTGTCAGTCCCTGGCATCTGTAGGCTTCAGACTTGGATCTTCATCTCACTGTCGCTCTTCACCTGTCCAAGGCAGTCCCTTCTTGTGGCTTTAATTTCATTAATGGCACCCCAACAATTTCCCCAACATTTCTGTTCTTTCTATATTCTCAGAAGCATTAGGCTCATGTCACTTGGATTTCATATGCTCTGCAGAGTCAACCATCCCACCTCGCTCTGTAGTTGAGGATGACATTGAACTTCTGATCCTCTTGT